TTTGATCTATCTAAATTCCTTTCTGCAGTCTTTCCACCTCTCAGTCTCCAGATTTCCTTCAGATCTCCAGGGTTTTCATGCGAGGTGCTGGTCTCCATAAATCACACACTGTGTACCCCCCTCATCCCAGCCTTCCCAACAACTTCCCTTTATACTTTCCTTCTTCCTTGGTCCTTTTCCACTTTCTATATCTATCTCATTAATATTTCCTATTGTATGAATCATTCTCCTGGGCTCTGCTTTTGGAAAATCGTTCCTCCAGTAATCTGTACTAACGCTGTCAACAGCAGCAGCCCTGCTCTCATTTTTACAGGGACCTTTCACATAAAATGCAATGGATCAAATGGACTTTAATGAGAGGAAATCAAAAGGAAAAAAAAGAGAGAGAGAGAGAATTTGTTTTTGAAAAAAATGTGACCGGGGGTTGTGTCTGTGGCTCAAAGGAGTAGGCCACTGGCCCCATATGCCAGAAGTGGTGGGTTCAACCCCAGCCCCAGCCAAAAGACTGCAAAAAAAAAAAAAAAAAAGTGACCACATACTTCAAATAATGACAGATCATCATCAAATAGTTGTAATTTATATTTTATAAATGTAAGATAGTTTTCACATTTATATCTATAATAAATAAGATATTCACTTTTTAAAATTTTTTGGTTTTATTCTGTGGCTCCTGTCAAATTACTTTTTGTTTATAGTGGGAGGAAGAGATCAAAATCCATTTGTTTTTTTTGGTGCTCTCAGAAGTCCTACTGACTTCATACCATTTATAAATACGATCGTCCTTTTCTTACCCAATTGCATTTGAGCCTTACTCATGAATCAGGTGATTATACTTCTGTAATCCATAATATTCCATTGGTCCATTTATCTATACCTGTGCTACTATTATTCTTTCTTAATTGCTTCTACATTACAGTAAGTCTTAATATTTGGTAGTGTTAAGTCCTTCAGCTTTGTTCACCTTCATTTTTTTCCCAGTGTTGAATCTATCTTGTCAAAGAAAACACGTTTATAATCTATCATTTGGGGATAGCCAAAATCTCTTAAATAGAACACAGACACACACATACAGAAGCATTAACTATGAAGAAAGGAAGATAAATTTGACTTATTTAAATTGGAAGCTTTTGTCTAACAAAAAATACAATTAAGGGAATTCAAAAAATAAGCCACAAACTAAAGTATTTGTATTACATTTGACAAGTGCTTCATCAAGAACAAGTAGAGAATTCATACAAACAACAACAAAAAAAGTAACCTAATTACAACAATGGACCAAAAAATTAAACAAAGACTACACAAAATATGCTGTTAAAGTGGCTGACAAACATACCGAAATGTGCTCAGTATCATTCATCATTAGACAAATATAAATTAAAAACTATAATTAAATAGTAGTACACAAACATAATGGATAAAATTGGGGGGAAATGGCTGAAAATACCAGCAATTTTTTAGGACATGAAGCTGGTGAATGTATGAATTAATAAAACTTCTTTGAAAAAATATTTGGCAATAGTTCCTAAAGGAATACATATGTATACCAGATGGCACAATAGTAGGTATCTATCCCTGAAAACAAGTGAATAGCTATATTGTCTACTAAAAGATATAAGGCAAAAAGATCATAAAAGCTTTATTGATGATAGTAACCAACTGAAAACAACCAAAACACTTCTCTTATGAATAATAAAATGAGTAAATAAATTATACTACATGCATGCAGTGGAGTACTACACAGTTATCAGCAAACACAAACTTCTTCACATGCAATGTGAACGAGTCTCATGATACACGCTATTCAGTGAAAGAGATTAGATGATAAAAATATATATTCTACTTATATATATATATATATCTTTAAAACCTGATAAAGCTAACTGTAATTATAAAAATAAGAAGAGATTTTACTCTTGGGGCTATATATTGAAGAGGATGCAAGGGACCTTATTGGGTGGTAGAAATCATACTCAAAAGATTGATTTTGGTAGCAATTCCACAGGTACATATATATTTACAAATTTATCCAATGGTGCACTTAATATTTGTGTTTTACTGTATGTAAGATATTCCTCAGTAATTAAAAAAATAATAATAATGCATAGATTCACTGAGGCAAAGAAAATAAAAAAGACAGAAAGTATGTTCCTTGTAGAGTTTATTATTTTTAACTGCAGATCAATATAAGGGCACTTTACCAATTCTTTGGTTAAGGCAAGGAAGGCACCATTCTTCATGTAAATGCTTTCTAAGAATAACATGGTTGAACAATTTAGGATATGAAAATGCATTTCCCAGGGTCTGCCATTGGGGCAGTACCCAATTATCCTCAGGCTTTTCTTTCTTCTTTGATCTTTCCTACCACAAAACACTAACCTTTAACGGTTCGTGGTCTATTAATATGTCAATAAGAACTCTAACACTAAAAGGCAGGGGTCCTCAAACTTTTTAAACAGGAGGCCAGTTCACTGTCCCTCAGACCATGGGAGGGCTGGACCATGGGCCCCAGGATGAGTCAGCTGCTAAGCAGGACAGGCAGCGGCAGCAAACACACCCATGGGTATCACCCTACCAGACGTTAGGCTATACTACAAGGCCATAGCAATCAAAACAGCATGGTAGCATGGTAATGGCACAAAAATAGAGACATTGACATTTGGAACCAAATAGATAACCATGAGATGAAATTAACATCTTACAGCTATTTGATAAGACAAATAAGACCATATACTGGGGACAAGAGTCCCTATTCAATAAGTAGTCTTGGGAGAACTGAATAACCACATGTAAAAGACTGAACCTGGACCCACACCTCTCATCACTTACAAAAACTGTTTTGAGATGGGTAAAAGATTTAAATCTAAGGCATGAAACAATAAAAACCCTCTAATAAAGTGTGGGGAAAACACTTAAAGATATTGGCCTGGGAAAAGATTTTTTGAAAAAGACTTCCATGGCTATTGCAACAACAACAAAAATAAGCAAATGGGACTTAAACTGGAAAGCTTCTGTAAAGCTAGGGAAACAACAACCAAAGCAAATCGATAACCTTCAGCATGGGAAAAGTTATCTGTAGTTCCTAGTTCTCAAGCTATTGTCCAATTCATAACATGCAAATAATATGAATTGGACAATAGCTTGAGAAGTAGGATCTATAGAACTCAAATTAATCAACCAAAAAAGACCCCACAATTCCATATATTACTGAGAAAGAAACATGAGTAGAACCTTCTCTAAAGAAGACAGATGAATGGCTAACAAACATATGAAAAAATGCTCATCATCCCTAATTATTAGAGAAATGCAAATCAAAACTACCCTGAGATATCAACTAACCCCAGTTAGAATGACCTATGTCATGAAGTCTCAAAGCTGTAGAAGCTGGTGTGGATGTGGAGAGAAAGGAACACTTTTACACTGCTGGTGGGACTGCAAACTAATACAGCCTTTTTGGAAAGAAGTATGGAGAATCCTCCAAGAACCCAAACTATACCTCCCATTTGGTCCTACAATCCCATTACTAGGCATGTACCCTGAAGGAAAAAGAAAAAAAAAACCTTTTATCGTAAGGATATCTGTACTAGACTGTTTGTTGAAGCTTAATTTATAATTGTCAAAATGTGAAAACAACCTAAATGCCTACCAACCCAGAAATGGATTAACAAGCTGTGGTACATGTATACCATGGAATACTATTCAGCCATTAAAAAAGATGGAGATTTTACATCTTTTGTATTAACCTAGATGGAAGTGGAACACATTCTTCTTAGAAAAGCTTCACAAGAATGAAGAAGCAAGAATCCAATGTACTCAATTCTAATATGAAGGCAGTAGGTGTTCTAATACAAGGGGTATTAGATTAAGCAAGGAAAGGGGTGGAGGGAGAGGGATTGGGGGACACGGTGTATGGCACACCTCTTGGAAGTGGGACACAATTATGAGTGACTTTATCTAACAAATGCAATCAGTGTAACCTAATTCTCTGCACCCTCAATGAATCCCAAACAAGAATAAATAAATAAATAAATAAAAGTATTTTATTTATTGAAATGAGAACCAAATGGTTAGGCTTTCCTGCTTACCACTCTTCAGATGGATTCAGAAATAAATTGGCCGATTATGAAAAATAATCCATACTTAATATCTTAGAGTTAGCTAATCATATCAACTAAAAATGAAGGAGAAGATATATTAGCTCTAATTTTGCTGACTCGCAATGAAACAGTGCTTGGCAGAGTGCTATTACAGATCCTACAGAATATCTCTGAGTCACTTACACAAATTACTGGGGTCAAGATCACTCTGCAGGTGATGAAGAATTCAAATCTAATCTTGCTGTGTTCTTAGATAGTTTCCTCTTGCTACTACAGCAAATTATAAAGTCAATGTTTAAAATAATAGAAATTTATTGTCTTCTAGTTCTGAGGGTCAGAAATTCACATAAGTCTCACTGGGCTAAAATCAAGCTTTCAACCAGCAACTCTAAGAGCGAGTCTAGTCCCATGCCTTTTCTGGCTTGCAGAGGCTGCCTGTACTTCTTCCAGCTTTCTCTGTCTTCAAAGCAAGCTAGAGCCAACCAAGTCTTTCTGTGTCACACCACTGACAATGACCCTTTTGACTTCCTCATCTACATTTAAGTACCGTGTGATTACATTGCCCCCCTCTTATATTCCCAGATAATCTCCTTACTTTAACGTCAGCTAATTAGCAGTTTAAATTTCATCTGTTACCTTACCTTTTGGCCACACAATATAATATATTAGGTTCCAGGGCTTTAAACAATTATATCTTTGGGAGTCTGTTATCATTCTTAACATAATCCTGCTTTCCTCTCTCAGTCCCAGTGACTAAGGCATTAAACTTTGTCATGATCTTTCAGGTCTCTTTTGGAGAAAAAAAAAATGCAAATATATGTAAAAGTGGTTCAGATAAGATTTATTGCAAAACATTACCCCATGTGTTAAGAATAATCTAAAACTATGTTACTTGTCTTTTCAGCAATGGGCACGAAACTCTTGTTTTTGGTTGCTGCTGTTGGTTACTTGCCTGTTTTGGCCAAAAGTGTATGTAAGCATTATATGTTTCATACTTAACTTTCTAGACAAAGATAAAAATTAACTCCTTGAACAGAGGTCACTATGTTCCAGGCTCTATTGTGAGGACACTACACCTGTTATTCCTCTACTTCTCATAATAACCCTTTGAGGCAAGTATTATTCTTCATACTATATCATAGAAGGGAGAGCCAATGAATAGGAAGGTCAATCCCTATGGCCAAGGTCAGATGACCAGGAGGTGGCAGAGTGTGAAATTATACTCAATCAGTGTAGCTCCATGGGTCCATGCCTTTCATCTTATCCTCTCTGGATAATGCAAAAATAGATGAGAATGTAAGGCAGAAACTACTTCTTTACAACCTATCCATGAATTTTTAATGAACAAATGGGGGGAAAAAAAACCACACACACAAGTTGGTTTTGCTCTCAGAAAGGTAAATATGTCATCATACCCTGATTGAGCTATATAATTTGTCTTTACAACCAGAATTTAACACATAAAATTAAGTATAAAATGAAAAGGTCCCAACAGCAAAGAGGGACATTCGGGGTTGTTAACAATGGAATTGACAGTTGATGCCTAAATCTCACTACTTATTAAAAACAAAAACTTCAATAATCACAAAATAGAAATACAATACTCAATGGGGCAGTAATGAGTAGGTCCCTAAGATTTTATGATCAGCCAATGATACTCACCCCTAAATAACCTCAATAATATAAAGAAAATATTACATACTTTAATTTTCCCAAAATATTTTTATGACAAGCTGAAGTCAATAGTTTTGGTACAGATAATGAGTGATTTTATATTTTCATAGACCAGATAAGAGAAGCCAAAAGTGACAGGCACCTAACATTATTGGTGAAAAAAATCCATTTGCATTAAGCTATTAGGGTGATGGTTTGGTGTTCAGGTCCTATTATTCCCACCTCTTCACCAAAGAGAGTCTAGGTAGCACTCTTGTCTAATACCTAAGAATTCCATAGTAAGCTGGAATTAGTACCTTGACGAAGCCTTTCCTTGCTTCACTCTTATCCTCTGACCACCTTACTCCCCCAGCATAGAAGGGTGACTCTTATCCTTCACAATTGGAAAAGTTAACCAGAAGCATAGCTGCTATTCCAAAGGAAAGCAGACAGTCTGAAACATACATTTGTCCGCCAGACCTAGTACTAGGTTGACTGGCCACTTAGCCCAAGTTCTGGGAGACAGCTTGACCTAGGCTGCTGTGTTAAATAAAGAAGGAATCAGCATAACAAGTTAAAAACCCAGAGCAAAATGTAGATAGGTGGAATTCCTCCCATTCAAGGGGATCAAAACTTGATCCATTTACTGCCCAGGAATCCAATAGAAAAGGTATTTGTATTCTATAATAGGATTACCAGAACAATGACATATCTTTTATAGAGTATTTTCTGCAATAAAGGCTTGAGAATTTTTAATTAAAATAAGAAAACAAGACAAATTAAGCCCCAAACATAAATTTAAAAAATTTAAATTTTGAATCCCAATTAAATTAAATAATGTGTTCCAATTTAACCAACAAAAATGACTGGCTGCTTTCTTATTTTCAGTCTCCAGGTGAAAAGTAAATAGAATAACGACCCAGCCTGAATCTTATTTTAAACTTCCTCCAATGTCAATTTGCTGGGAGACTAAACATCTAATCAAACAGATCTCACTTTACTACTATGGAGTATATAGTAATCCGGCTGTCTGCCAGAGTTTAGCACTGTCAACATTTTGTATGGGATAATTTTTTACACAAAAATACCTTTGGAGGAAAAGTATGGGGAGTTAAGACCAGATAACAGACAGGCCCAATCTTGTCTGAGGTCATAAGAGACTTTAGATCAGGAGAACAAGTCAGCCATGCATGCTGAAAGGGAATCCTATCGCAGATACAGAACTGAGCAGACACTCTAAAACAGGAAAGAAACAGGCACACTGGGATAATGACAAGAAAATCAGTGTAACGATAACAGAGAGAACCAGGGGAACATATCCTAAATAGAGGCTGAGAAATAATCATGGCCTTCAAAGGCCCTGGGAAAGGTTTAGTTCATCTTTCTACAAATTGTAAACTGCAGAAGAAAAGTGACTTTATTGTGTCTGTTATTTTGAAATTTGACTCTGGTTGAGGGATTGGAAACAGATTAAGAAAAGAAGGGGTTGGTGAGGAGAGAAAATCTTGAGGTACTAAAGCACTAGTGCATTCTCGAAAGCCAGTAGAAGGCAGCCAGGCAGTAGTCAGTCCAGGTAAGGGAAGAGAAATCTGAGCGGTAAGAGGAAGAGAGTGTATTGCCCCATACACCAAGAGAATTGCTATAATGAAAGCCTGAACAAAGGAGTTGTGAGCCGTTAGACCAAGTAGGATAAAGTCATTAAAACAGTATTGGATATACAAACTGAGTTTGTCAGAGATCTTAACGGGAGTTGTTATAACGTGTAGTTTCTCAACCTTAGCACTATCAACATTTTGTATGGGATAATTTTTTGTTACCAGGTGCTGTCCTGGACCTTGTAGGAATTTAGCAACAGCATTCTGGCCTCTACCCACAAGAAGGATAGCAGACTGGGCCCCCCCAACCTCATCATAACAACCACAAGTCTCTCTAGACGTTGCCTAAGGCGGCGGGGGCACCTCTGACACAGGACTGCTGGTTTAGTGTAATAATACAGGGAAAGTGAGTGGAAAATTGTAGACCGCCAGAATCGGCAACATGTTTCATAATTTTAATAAAGTAGGAGAATATATAAAATATATATACTTGTGTTACTTATAAGTATGAAATATACTTATGATGAAGTATAAGAATATTGGACGAGTGAGTGAGGTAAATGAAGAAGTGTCTGTTTCTTTGAACGTACAAGCAGCGTGCTCGTGAGTCAACACCATTGAGAAGGGCCAGAGAGCTAGAGCAGCTGAACATAAACAAAAGGAAAAAAATAAATAAATAAATAAGGTGAGATTCTGAGAAAGGTAGAAATCAGAGCAAATAACACTGGTGGAGAGTTGAGCCTTAGAAAAAATGACCCATCTCTAGTACTACAGAAAGGGAGGACAAAAAGAGGACAGATATTTGCCCATTGGTGAGCTGAGTGACAGAGCTGAAGCAGCTGACCTCTGATGGTTTCTGTTTACTGAGGGTAGTAGATAACGTCACAATCCCTTTAAAGAAGGTAGTTGTGAACAGGGGAGAACGCGAACATTCTACAACAATGTGGAGAGACACAAAATGAGTTAACCAGATAACTGACTAGAATTGATGAGCAGAATTAAGGGACAGGGTGAAGTCACTCGTGTTGACTTGGGGTGACACTAGTCTTCATCATTTTGTGCAATATTTTTCTGACAATACTCAGCTGCCAATGCGGGGCCTTGTTAGCCTTATCCAAAGTTGAAGTATTCCTAGATGGACATTTCTAGATTAAGGTGTACAAATAAGCTTTAGAATTTTAGATAGAGTTGTTCTCTAAAACGAGAGAATACAGAAAGAGGAGAAAGGAAAGACAAGAGACGCTAGTTGAGAGAATGCAGGCGGAGGAAGAAGTCGACATTTGTTTGAAGAACAGTCGGTGTGGGTTGTCCTGAGCAACTTGGAAAAACGAGAAATTCTGGTCAGGCAGGAAAATGCTTGACCAGGCAATGTGAAAGGTACGGTATTTGGGATGATTGAGTTATATGTAGTTAATGACCCACTAAGTGTGGAGATCAGGCAAGTGCAGGAGAGATTTAAAGGAGAAGGTTATCGAGGCACTAAGACATCAGGGGGTGGAGTCATCTGTGTGAATGTTAAAATCCCTCACATCGACTGCATCGATCTGAGTAGACAGGATGAGCTTATGTCTGGAGACCCAGTTGCCAGGAATATGAGGAAATGAGAAGAAAAATCATTATAGGGTGTTAGTGTTTGGGATGAGGTGGGAGAGGCAAACGCAACAGGTCTCACTGGAGCATAGGTTTTCAGAGGAATGAGGAGAGTGTAAGTGGAATCTTAGAAGTCCTCAACCTCTCTTCAAGTCCAAGTCGAACTGCAATGTCAGGAAAAAAAAAATGGCACCACAGGGGCAGTCTGGAGAGTGGTCTTCTGGATTCTACATTTATGCCCTATCCTACAACCTAAAATTACTGATGTAAAATAAACACCAACCACTCCTTTATATTAGAGCAAGATATGGTGTTGCATCCTGTTCATTCATAAAGTGTGCTGATAGCTCAGGAGGTGATTGAGGAAGAAACAGAGACACCACTAAAATTATAGCATATTAGTTTTAAGTCTTTAACAACGTATCAGGTATATGTGATGTATCACACACACTAAAGGGATGCTCTTTATAGCAGGCAATGCGAACTCCAAACACAAAGTTTTCTTCTTTGTGAGTTGCAGGATAATGTATAAGCAAGTGAAAAGAATAGTTACAAATTCTAGATTATAGGCTGAGTTTGAATTCTATTTTATACTTTCTTACATGTACTTTGTAAACATTTCATATATGAACAGGAAAATGCTACAGAATCTGAGTTAATAACAGAGTCTTTGTACTTCATAATGAACCTTTGGGTTTGGGCTCTCCCAGGCCATTAGACGGGGATTCAATTAAGTACTTTATGTAGGAAACAAGATAAGGTGGGGAAGAGAAATCCATAAGTAAAAGAGGTGATTTCAAGACATCTTTCACTATGGCTCTTATTGCCCAATAAAAAGTCCTTTGAATAGTCCAAAGAATAAATCATAAATTTGAAAAATCATAATCACAGAATAATCAATGCACTATTGTAAAAACTACTATGATGTCAGCCTAACATTCAGAAATCCTCAAAACTAGAACAGGAGTAATGGAATCTAATACACTGACACGCCATGCATTCAAAAATGCTGTATTTCTTTGTTCAATATAAACTATACATTCTCAGGCCTGGCATGGTGGCTCATATCTGTAATCTTAGCATTCTGGGAGGCCGAGGCAGGTGGATTGTCTGAGCTCACAAATTGGAGGCCAGCCTGAGCAAGAGGGAGACTCCATCTCTACTAAAAAATAGGAAAAAGCTAGGAGGGCAATGGCAGAGTGAGACTGTCTTAAAAACAAAACAAAACATAAAAAGTGAACTGTAACTTCTCATTGCCTATGGGTCTACAAATATATTTGTGATGAATTACACTTCAATAAAAAGTGAGCACTAATTAATAATTTTCTGGTAACAAGTTTCACAAACTTGTCACTGAACTGGCATCTGTACAAGAAGAAATTGTCAATGTACACAACGCCTTCAGGAGAAGAGTAGCTCCCCCAGCCAGCAACATGCTGACGATGGTAAGATCAAAGGCCAGCTCCAGCAGTGACGGCAATGAGTATGATGGTGTTCACTGAGTTTTGATTAAGTTCTACACACTTTTGATATCCTAAAAGTTTTGATTTTCACACAAAACTTGTAGCATAAAAGAAACAGAGGCCCAGAGGAGGCAGGTAACTGTCCCACGATCATATAGTTCGTCAATGAGAGAGCAACCATTCCAACTCGGGTGAGTTTCACTCTTGTACACCCTAGGACGGTGCTTCTCAGACTTCAGTGCACTTAAGAAACACCTGAAGAACTTGGTAAAGCACAGTTTCCTGTACCTCATTCTCTGATATCCCTAGACAGGATGTCAGACGTGGGGACCCCATAAGCTCCCAGCTGATGCCAATCCTGCTAGACGATAGAGCAGGATTAACAAGTTCCCCAGCCATTTCGTAGCTGCCCCCGCTGGCCAGTAGCCCAGAGGCCAAGACACTCATCTGAGGACGAAGATGTCCACATATGTATCTAGTTGAGGTTTCCAGCTAAATTAACACTGGCAAGTCTATTGCCTGATTTTGCTGCATCCCATAAAAGGTTAGAGAAATTAGCTTTCCACTACACACCAGGTGTGTTCTGTCGCAAGAAATGTAGAGAAATCTCAGGTTATGAGATGATTAGACTCTCACTTAATATCCAGCAGCATCATTCAGATGTATGGGCAACCTTAGCCTGCTTCTCAAACCCTGGACTGACTTACAGGAACAAGGGTTAGAAACAGTGCCGGCTCTGGCAGGTTATTCTAATGAACAGCTTCCTCATGTGAAGGATGTAGGGGGGGATTAAGTGAATAGAAAAAGGGTTTTGAAATGTTTATCTTGGTCATTGTAGAACTCAAAATGTTATTTGAACAAAACAGTAAAAACAATTGCTATATTAGGCATTCTTGTGTTGGAAGGTACCATATAAAACCTATTAATGGCAGACATATAAAGCTTATTAATGGCAGACCTCTTCCAGGACCTTGTTACATTTACTCATTTAATTCCCCTAGTACAATCACATCCATTTTACAAATTCTGACAGTAAGCCTCAGGGAAATTAAGTACCTTATTCAAAATCATGCGTTCCTGGGCTGGGTATAGTGGCTCATGCTTGTAATCCCAGCACTCGGGAGGCCAAGTGGGGTGATTGCCTGAGCTCACAGGTTTGAGACCAACCTAAGCCAGAGTGAAACCTCATCTCTAAAAATAGCTGAGTGTTGTGGGTCACCGATAGTCCCAGCTACTTGGGAGGCTGAGGCAACAGAATGACTTAAACCCAGGAATTTCAGGTTGCTGTGAGCTATGACACCACAGCACTCAGGGGGTGACAAAGTCAGACTCTGTCTCAAAAACAAACAAACAAACAAACCCTATGAGTTCTGGATCCTAGATTCTGGGGGAACTGGACCAGCTCCGTAGATCCTGCTCTTAATCACTTACCTCCCTTAGGAAAAACAGGCCCCAAACCCCTTAATTGCCAGATGAGAAAATAAGTGTGGATAGGAGATACAAAAAGAAGTTGACGAAAAATAAAAGATACAGCTCCATATTTCAGAGACCTTATTAGAAATGAAAGACAAATGCAAAGGAATAATTGGGAAATAACACAAGAATATGTATATTCAAGTGCTAAGCTACAAAGTTATGAAATATCAACGAGATGATAATTTAAGTGTTCCTGTAAAACTGAGAAGTATTTCAAAAGAGACAGGAGAATTGAGTTATTCCAAAATAAGACGTATATAGGTTAGAACTGATAGAATTAGCAACAGGAGATTTAAATAACAACAATAGGACTGAGCATTAAACACAACTACCAGACAGAAATTTTGTAAAAAGAATTTAAAAAGTAAAGAAAAAACGTATCTGTACATAAGATCAAACCTGCTTAAGCAGAGCCTCTTGGTGAATCCAGGATACACAGCTTTGGGACAACAGCATGAATACACATGTGCAATTTTAATGTGGGATCTATCACAGTGGGGGACTACTTCACCAGCAGTAATCAGAGCAGTCTAAACTGCAGATAATATAATGTGTTACAGGTAAGTTCCCTTCAGAAGATGAGCAGACTCCAAGATAGAGGTTAGCAGGCAGGATAGTTACAGAGACACAATCTCCAAATTCATACCTACCTGTGGAGGCAAGCAGAAAAGCAAGATTAAGCACAGGGAAGAATTGGTCTATAACGCACTCCCAGTAAGAACCTCTGCTTAACCCAGGGGAAGCTATTAATATAAAACTAGGAAAGCTCTTTTGAGTCATCCTGAACCAAGGAAAGAAGGTCTGGAATTTAAATCTATTAATATAAGCTCTTAAATGCAGGCTGCCTCAGTGAAAGGAGTAATCTGTGTTGACCTCTGCCCCTTCAGTTAGACACATCCATGAATAAAATTAATCTTTTCTTGCATAAAACAATCAAAACCTGAAAAACCGTGTTTCTTTTTTTTTAAGCAATATTTTTATTTATTATTAAATCATAGCTGTGTACATTAATGCAGTCATGAAACTTACTAAATGTAGACTATAAATGTCTTAATACAATAACTAAGAAAATGCCATGAAGGCTATGGTAACCAGTTTGATGAAAATATTTCAAATTGTATATAAAACCATGTTTGCATTCATTGCTAGGCTGACTGACTTAATTCGTGGTTTAGTAAATTCATTAACGTGAAGGGTAGATCTAGAAAACTACCACAAGATGGCAGCATATACACGTAAAATGACCTAACTATTACTATCCTTCAACTTTATACACCCAGGACAAGGTTGAAAATCTCTGAGTGTCATCCAACCATTCTAAAGAGTAACTGGATGATTTACATAAAAGCCTTCAATGAAAACAAGCTACAGCTTTTGCTGATGATGAGTGATATGAGTGATGCAAGGACACTTTTTTTTTTTTTTGCAGTTTTTGGCTGGGGTTGGGTTTGAAACCACCACCTCTGTGGCATATGGGGCCAGCGCCCTACTCCTCTGAGCCACAGATGTCACCTACAGAGCACTCTGTCACAAGCATGTATACACTGAGGTGGTGAAGAAGTGTTGGGCAGATCTTTTGTGTCATAACTACCCTTTTCCCCTTTCATCTTTACTAGAAAATAGCTGTTGCTAAGTCTACCTGGAAAAAATGCTTCAACTCCCTCACACTGAGAATAGAGACACGTACTCTGAACCAGAGTAACTGGATTCAAATTCTCTGTCATTAAATAGTAGGTGATCCTTAAAAGTTATTTAACATCTCGGTGTCTTAGCCTCTTTAGTTGCAAATGCACCTTCCTTACAGAATTGTGTAAGGTTAAAGTGACATAAAATGTACACAGAATTGGTGGCAGATGTTGGACGTGGTGTTAGCTATCGTTACGATCTATAATTTTAGATGGAAATGTGTGACTGTACTTGCTTCTAATCACAGCCGTCCTTCACTTATTGAGAATATATAGCATTGGATTTAGCATCTCACAGTTGTTGTTTAGATTATCACATTAAATCTTTTGAACAAACCTTTGTATATGAATGATAGGTCAGGTTTTACAGATGCAGAAACTGAGAATCAAGGAGATAAAATAACACGCCTGAAATAAAACCACTAAAAAATATTTGTCTGCCTTTGCTGGAAACATTTATTTAAAATCTTTTCTTTCTGCCTTAATTTCATTTTTGTTTTTTCTTTTGTGGTTTCAGTTCAAGATATTAATTAAGGGGGTATAAGTGTTTTTGCTATGTAGATACCCAGTATGATGCTTAGGACAGGGCCCTTGTTGTATGGGTCACTAGAATAATGTTCATTTACCCAGTAGATATGTTTTTATCCCACACCTACTTCCTACCCTCCTTTTTTCTTGGTTTCTTATGTCCTTTATGTCATTTTGAGTCTCTGTGTACCCATCATTTAGCTCCCACCTATAAGAGCATTGGGTGTTTGTTTTTCCATTCCAGAGATACTTCACTTAGGAAAATGGTCCCCGATTCCATCCAAGTTGCTGCAAACGATATTATTTTATTTCTTTCTTTGGCTGAGTAGTCCTCCAAATTGTATACACACCATCTGTCTTTATCCACTCATGAATTGATAGGAACCTAAGTTGATTCCACATCTTTGCAATTGTGAGGTGTGCTGTGGTAAACATTTGAGTGTCTTTTTGTTAAAATGCATTCTTTTCCCTTAGGTAGACATCATTTATCTAAGCTCTTTACTACATCAAGGATAGACACTACATTGAAAATCATTATTGAATTGTCAATTTGTGAATTCAAGTGTCAATACAATGAAGTGAAATTTTTGTCTTTCTCTTTTTATTAGAATATTTTTAAAATATCATTTTTTAGGTTATACAATTGAGGACATTGCATATCTTGGATTTTTAGAAACAATAAAATTGTGTCATAAAAATGTTAGTTAGAAAATGTGCTCCCCCACCCCTTCCACTGTAGAACTGGAGTGAAGAGGCTGCACAAAATGCCAGAACTTTTTCAAAGTATTGTGATGACGCAGGCAGCAGCCCACTTGAGAGGAGGATTACAGGTAAGTGTGTGTCTATATGACCCACATTTGGAAGAAGAAAAAGATAAGTAAAATGAAATAGAGATTGTTAAGTTATCTGGTGAGAAAAAGTTGAGTCATCTAGCATTTATTTGCACTTGCTCATACATGGCAGTAAATTGCGGCCTAATGCACTATATTATTATTATTGAACTTTAAAATTGGGGTATTTGAATTTTCAGATCTAGAATTCTAACCATCAGGAGAAAAGAGTCAAAGCTCTCAGTATGGCAGAACTATGAGGGCAGCTAGAGAACTGAAAGGTTTCCATTCTCTGTAGTTTCCTCAACTACCAGCAACAGCACCAGGGGAACTTCTTTAACTTTGGAATAGTAGGTACTAATATAGCTGAGAAGCGATTATCCACAACTCTGTGGATCTGCTCATAAAAATTTGAAATACTCAAAAGTAAGCCCATATTAAGGCATATGAATTAGTTAATTTATTGTTAGTTGCAGAAATAAAAACATTAATACTACACAGTGGACATTAATAACATTTACAAAAATTCTTTTCTATTAGAAATAATTTATAAGTACTAACGTAACTTTCACATCTACAAATTATTGGGAATCTTAGCCCAAAGCTATTAAAAAGTGAATTAACAGCATAGGTCCTCTCTGTCACAGGGTAAAAGACCACTCCTGAATGTCGTGTTCGACCAAGAGCACACACTATAAATGAATGGCTAAATAAACAAAGGTTTCTTCAAGGTCTATCCATAGTGAATACCTGTGTGTGGCTGTTTTTAAGCCACGGA